GAAAGTCCATTATTTATACAATTGTTATTGAATATTCGTTGAAGGGTTTTATTTTATTTAACAACTATTTGTGATTCTGATAATTTCAGATTCATTATTTGAGTCACTTATTGGTCGTCAAATGACATGATGTATATATCTATATAGTATTGCCTTTTTGTGACACAATTCCTCCCGAACACTCGGCTCCTCGGTCCTCCGGTAGTGACCCGGAAATGGATTTCAGCGTGCCATGTTGAAGGACATCTCATTTCTCTAACCGCGGCCGTTTCTCAATCTCGAGGAAACTGGCTTCCAAGCCAATATTTTAAGGATGCTACGTCATCGAGTGCCGCCGAAGGACTTTTCCAATCTCCAGCATACTTGGAATTCCACCGAGGCTGCGTCCTTGGTTTGGGGGTAATTTCGAGGCTACATGTGTAGACTTCGCGTCCTTAAAATCCACACAATGCTTTGCGCACGGACCAATTTCCCCAAATCTGTGGCGGAAAATGTGACGCACACTTGCTAGCCTGTTCCAATCTTCGTTTCCGAATGCCAGGAAGGATTCTTGCCTAGCTTCTGAAGACATGTGCTACCAAGCAAGCATCCTCGCGATTGAGAAACGGCCCGCCTGCTGCTTCCCCTCCTCTCTCCTCAGTCCCCCCTCCACTCCTCGTTACATTGCATTTAGCTGAGGCTTTTATCCAAAGCGACTTACAATAAGTGCGTTCGACCAAGAAGATACAAACTAGAAGAAAACAGAATCATATAAATACATCAGGTTTCATAGAGCCAAACATTTCAAGTGCTACTCAACTGGCTTTAGATAAGCCAGTCCTTTATTAGTATATAAGTGCTTTGTTAATAGTTCTATCGCTCGAAGTGGAGTCGAAAGAGATGAGTTTTCAGTCTGCGCCGGTGTCAGTACCAGATATGTTCGGGCTACCAGATATGTTCGGGTGTATTTCCGTCGCATCCGTCATCCGTCATATCCGTCATATACTCACCTCCCTCTGCTCCCAGCGCTCTGCTGCCACACACCGGCTGTCTGCGGAACTGCAGCCGGAGGAACTCGGGACAGCTTGTTATGTGTGGGGTGCTATGGTGGGGTCCCATGTACTTGTGCACATAAATAATGTTTCTAATTATTTACAATTAAAAAATATATATATTCTGCGTTACTTTAGCCAACACTTTTATAAGGCCACTAGATTAGATAATTACGAAATGTGTAGATAGAATACATATATTTCAGGTTGTTATTTTGTCATTATGTTTAATGTTTTATTTACCTTTTAGTATTTGTATATAGTATCTGAACTTTGGAAAGGAGTTGGGAGACACACGACACATCAAATCACATCTACAGATCAAGGCGAAGCAAATGGAAGTACTCCCATACTCCTAGCGTGGAAATGTTTGTGAAAACGTGTGCAAAGTCTCCGAAAATCCTAAAAATAAGCTCATATTTGAATTCCCCATAAAAAAACACATCATTCAGTAAAAACAAGGCCCCACTGATCATCTACTCTCTGAGACGATTCCAGGGATGTCTGGCTTGAGTTTCGACCACCAGGGAAAGTGGACAAAAGTGCCCGAGATCAGCCTCTTAATTTACCCAGGGCCTAGTGCTTGGCTTTGGGCATGAAAATTCAGGAAACTCCCCTGAGTATTTTATTAAATATCTGAACTTTGGAGAGGAGTTGGGGGACACACGACACATCAAATCACATCTACAGATCAAGACGAAGCTAGTGGAAGTACTCCTAGCGTGTGAAAATGTTTGTGAAAAACGTGTTCAAAGTCTCCGAAAACGGAGCAATGGCTGTGATGCTAGCTTTGCGGCTAGCGGTTAGTTGTTATTGTTTGAAGTTGTTGCTATGGAAACAACATGACGGAGAAAAAATTAATATCTTCTACATATAATAACGGAAAAAGTAAAGAATGAAGTGTAGGCTATGCTTGTTTGAAGTTGTTGCTAAGGAAACAACATGACGGAGAAAAAGTATAATCTTCTACATATAATAACGGAAAAAGTAAAGAATGAAGTGTCGGCTATGTTTAAATGTTCGGAATTTGACCGTGATGGCTCTCTTGAGTTGCCGTAAAATATGACGGATGACGGATGCGACGGAAATACACCCGAACATATCTGGTACTGACACCGGAAGATGTGTCAGCTCGCATCTCCTGTGGGCGGGACTAAGACAAGAGGATAGGAGTCGAGGAGGGGAATTAGAGAAATGAGAAACCTTCTGTGAATACTTTTATTCAATGTATTTTTGATGTATTTTGGTCTCTGTGTTTAAAGTACCATGTTCTCAGCAGCTTGCATTTTTGAGTTTCCAACAATAGCGTATATAATATATTAATATCTTTAGTAAAATAATAATTATAATAATAATATGTAAGCGTCTTTGGCATTAGGAAAAGCGCTATAAAAATCCCAAGTATTATTATTATTATATATAATAAATGAACTCATGCAGAGTGACTTTGTGTTTCTGATGCAATGCAATGAGTCTCCAGCAGAGGCCGCCCTGCTCACACCCTGAGTATTAATCAGTTTTAAATATGGAAAAAGTATGTGGAAAAATGAAATATGAAAATGTGTAGTATGTGGAAAATATATTGTCATTTAACACACATTTTTCCTTTGCATTTCTAACATATTTTAAAAGTAATATGTCAAATGTGAAAAAAATATTGGTTATTTAAAAAAAAAAAATATATAGCATATGTTTGGTTTCCTATTGTTACGACACCCTCCCTCCACTAGGGGTCTCTGTGTGTTCCCGTTCTGCTTGCTGGCTCCCATTTGTGTTTCAGGTGTTCAAGTCATCAACCTGGGGATAAAAGGCCATCCCATAATGCAGGCTATCACTCGAGACATGGCTTTGCGTCCTTTGGTTTAGTTACATCGTTAATAGAAATGAAGCTCAGCGCAAGTTCAACCAGGAAGACCTTCTTTCCTCATTCATTTACTATTCCCATGTTACTACTCTCTCCTCTCAATAAGTGATCGGGGGCGTCACTCCCCAGCTTAACCAATCACTTCGCTCTATTCTCACAAGCCTATCATAGCGCTCCGCGAACCCTTTAAAATCTGCTCTCCCCTCTGACAGCTGTCATTTCAGGTGACTCGACGCAGCCCCACCCCTTCAGACCGACCCCACATATCCATTCACCACCACCAGTGTCTAGACCCCGGTGGGGGGTTTCATCGTATCGGTTCTCCCCTCCCGAATTATACTCCTGCACAACGGGGCCTAACCGCCAAAACTCCATTACATTCATTTGTGTATCTCTACAATAAATGTATTTGTATCAACACCGTCTCTCCTGATTGAAATTACACTTAACTTGTCTGTTGCAGCCGATGAGCCGGGCTATAATACTGTGTTTAACATATAAAATAATTAACATGTATGAAAAGTGTATCAAGTGTGTGATCAATGTATCATTTGACATGTATCAAAGTATGAAAAGAACATTTAAAGTGTAGTTTAGTAGCCTATGTTGAATTTAATATGGAAACAGTTATCCTATAGCTTGTTGAAAATGTGTTGAAAACAAACTGAAAAAGTTCTAGCCGGTCAAGAAACAAAATCATGATATCTCCAAAAATATGAAAAAAATGTTATCGTATCGATTGTGTTAAAAAAAAGAAGCCAGGGTTCGAGGAGTTTGACTTCCGGCTCAGCGAGCTGAGGGTTCAGGAGGAGGCTGCTCACTGAAGTCTAATCTTCAATGCAGGACCTTCACTTACAAGCAACTAAGTACATTTACTCAAGTACTGTACTAAAGTACCATTTTGAGAGAATTCTACTTAAGTAACATTTTGAATGCAGGACTTTTACTGTAACAGAGTATTTATTCCTACACTCTGGTACTTCTACTTTTACTCAAGTACAAGACCTGAGTACTTTTACTCAAGTACAAGACCTGAGTACTTTTACTCAAGTACAAGACCTGAGTACTTTTACTCAAGTACAAGACCTGAGTACTTCTAATTTTACTCAAGTACAAGATCTGAGTACTTCTACTTTTACTCAAGTACAAGATCTGAGTACTTTTACTCAAGTACAAGACCTGAGTTCTTCTACTTTTACTCAAGTACAAGATCTGAGTACTTTTACTCAAGTACAAGACCTGAGTTCTTCTACTTTTACTCAAGTACAAGATCTGTGTACTTTTACTCAAGTACAAGACCTGAGTACTTTTACTCAAGTACAAGACCTGAGTACTTCTACTTTTACTCAAGTACAAGACCTGAGTACGAGTACTTTTACTCAAGTACAAGACCTGAGTACTTCTACTTTTACTCAAGTACAAGATCTGAGTTCTTCTACTTTTACTCAAGTACAAGACCTGAGTACGAGTACTTTTACTCAAGTACAAGACCTGAGTACTTCTACTTTTACTCAAGTACAAGACCTGAGTACGAGTACTTTTACTCAAGTACAAGATCTGAGTACTTTTACTCAAGTACAAGATCTGAGTTCTTCTACTTTTACTCAAGTACAAGATCTGAGTACTTCTACTTTTACTCAAGTACAAGATCTGAGTACTTTTACTCAAGTACAAGATCTGAGTACTTTTACTCAAGTACAAGATCTGAGTACTTTTACTCAAGTACAAGATCTGAGTACTTTTACTCAAGTACAAGATCTGAGTACTTTTACTCAAGTACAAGACCTGAGTACTTCTACTTTTACTCAAGTACAAGATCTGAGTACTTTTACTCAAGTACAAGACCTGAGTACTTCTACTCAAGCACAGGATATTAGTACTTCTTCCACCTGATTAAATGTTTGGTTTTAGTTTATTTTGTATATTTAAATGTGGTACTTGTCTGTATTATTTTTGTAAAGTCTGTAAAGTTTGTTTTATATTTTTATATTTGGACTTTCTCTCTTGTTTATGTTCGGAGCCCAGTAGATGTGTGTGTGAAGGCACCTGGTGATGACCCTGTGAGGCGCAGTGTGATGACGGACAAAGGGACAGAATAACCAGACTCTTATTTGTCAGTTTAGTTCCCATTCCCCCCCGCAGACAGACCCAGCTAACATCTCCGCTAGCCTGAAGCTAACAGAGAAACACAAGCAGTTACACACACTGATAATGTTGTGGCGGCGCAGCGTTACACACTCCCATCCGTTTACAAGATTCAACTGCATCCAGCCGCACACACACACACACTCATCGCAACCCCCCCACCCCTCCCCGTCCCTGGTAGAGTGGTGCAGGAATGAGTCCTCAAACGGGAAATGAGTCAGCATTTTATCTTTGTTCCCTCGTATGGATGTTTTTGGTTGTTGTTAGCTTAAAAGTGTCTAAATGAGACGACTAAATGTCATCACGCCCAACATTAGCCGCCTCTAGCTTAGCCTCTAGCTTAGCCTCTAGCTTAGCTTAAATACGGCGATTGCGAACAAGTATCTAAATGAGACGACTAAACGCCCAACGTTAGCCGCCTTTAGCTTAGCGTTAGTGAATTCATGTGACATTAGCTTTTTACTAAACATTGACATATTTTTCTGCACTAATCCAAAAAGGGAAAATCCCATTGGCTCTTTCTAGATGGAACAAGCGATATGCTGCCTTCAGGGTCCACTACAGAAATCAGTCATCCCGGCACCACTCTACGCCACAAAGCGCGTCTAAAATCTGATTATATTTCATTTTCTCTCCCCGGGACGAAGCCCACACACATTCCATTGGAATTCTCGTGGATTCGTCGCTTCCTCCGCCTTCCTGCACAGGATTTTATGATTTGTGTGTGTAGTGTTTAAACCATAACCCGTCCCTCCCTCAGCCCTCTTCCTCCCCTCCTGTGGAGCGGTGGCTGTACAGTAAGTGTGGGGTGGGGGCAGTCTTTATGGGAGGAGGGGCGAGGAGCAGGAAGTCGATGTTCAGTCGTCCTCCAGACCCTGGTTCAGGAGGAAGTTGGCCGCCAGGTTCTCGTTCTTCTCGCAGGCGAAGTAGGCCTGGATCACCAGAGCCTCAGGGAAACCCAGCGCTTTTAACTGAAGGAGGGAGAAGTGAGAGGGGGGGGGTTAGAAACATCAAGATGTGCTACAACAGGAGACAAAACACAGACCCCCTTTCACACCATATCAGTTCAAGGGCCAGTGCTGAGCGAGTGCCAGATTAAGCACCAGTTATTCTTGTTTCCACCACAGTGGAGCCGGCTTTAAAAAGTGTGTTGTTTATGACCACATTTGTATTTGATAATGTATGAAGTCAATAAAAACTAATCTCAGTTATCTGGCCCTAAAGCGGGAAGACCTTTCAGATTGAGCAACAATTGTCATACAAGAAAAAACAGATCTAATAAAGATTTTTGTTCTTGAATCCACTTTTTTTATGAAAAATCTTTTACTGTAATTTCCCCGGGTGGTCACAGGCACCACTAAACTGCTCATAAGAACAATGATCAGGCTTACGTGGGACCCTGAGAAAAGTGACAAGACCGCGACCACACTGATATAAAGTGAGGCAACACTAACCAGGCAGAGTGTGACGCTTTTTGTTTTAACCGTACTTTTAATGACCGTTCGCCGTTATGTAGACCAGCACCGCCTCAGACCTTGTTTTTATTATATTTTATCATATGGAAAAATACGCCGGTAAAAAGTGCCAGTAGAAAACGGCTTATGCCACAATATGATCGCAACAAGTAGTCAAGATCGCCTGATTAGCTCCGGTTGCTATGCCAACATCACCTGTCCAGTACCAGAGAAACTTTAATAACGTTGTGATGCCAAAAAGCGTCGATTCAGACTGAAACACATTCACTTATGGAGATGGGGGATATTTATCAGGTGTGAGAGTGAGTGAGTGAGTGAGTGAGTGAGTGAGTGTGTGTGTGTGTGTGTGTGTGAGTGTGTGTGTGTGTGTGTGTGTGTGTGTGTGTGTGAGTGAGTACAAATGACAATAAAAGCCTTGAAAACTGTTTCGGTGGAAAAAGGTTTTTTTTTACTCTTTGTGTTCCTCACCCTCTCGATGGCCTCCTTCTCCTGAGGTGTGACCTGGATGTAGTTGACGGGCGCCGCCCCCTCCTCCCCGGCGGCGCCCAGCTCTCCCACCTCCGGAGCGGCCTCCCCCCCCTCCACCGGCTCGTTCAGCATCTGGATGAACAGCTCCTGGTGCTGGCTGATTTGCTGAACGGAGGAGAGAGAATCAGAGGGTAAAAGATCATTATCTGAAACGCTCTCAAAGCATAACATGAAAATATTCAAGTCAAGTTGAAGTACCTCAAGGTTAGAGTACTTCCTTACATCCCACCACCGTCTAAATATTTATCTTTAATTGTATTAATCTCGTGTGAATCTGTGATGTCCTGTTTTCACTCTGACCCTGTTGCTGTATGAACCACTGCATGGGGATTATTAAAGCTCCATCTTACTCATGTAAGGGGAAAGGAAAGAGGCCATATTTGTAGTCCCTAGCGGCTGATTTGATACATTTTTGGTCTATTTTGAAGTTTTAGGGACTCTGGAAAGTTTGGATTTGACAGATTGCTTATTTATTTAAAAACAAACCGTCCACAGTAGAGATAATGACTTCCATCTGCTTCTCTGTGTCCAATGGTAGCAAGTCAAAATCATCCCACCAAGAGACTACAAATAGGGTCACTTTGTGGTTAAAACTGACATTAGAGATCCTGAAAATGTCAGAAATGGACTCGGCATCCTCAATAACCCAAAACCGCCCAAATCAGTCATTTGTAACCACTGTCTGCATAGGTCCACTCCTACTGCTATTTTTCACTTTATTATTTCCCCCTTTTGTTTGTTCACCTTGTAAAGCGGCCTTGGGTCCCTTGAAAGGCGCTATACAAATGTAATCTATTATTAGGTTATAATTAGTGGTGCACGATAATTATCGGTCCGATATTAGGAATTATGACGTCATCCCGATAAACCCGATGAAAGTATTAATAACCCCGATAATATACAATATATTTTTTGGGTAACAAATGCAGACGTTCCACCAGGAGGGAAAAACGAGCTATAATACTTCCAACCTGATTAGTCACCTGAAACATGGCCATCGCTACGATGGTGTGTTAAAAGCGTACGAAGACGCCTGCGCTGCTAAACTAGCGGCGAATCCAAAGCCAGCTGCAAAGGCACCGGGGCTTTTACCTATCGACGAGGCTTTTGGAAAAGGCAAGAAGTTTGCCAGAGACGACCCCAGGGCTAGTTGTGTTCATAGTAGTAACGCTCATGTCATTTGCTCACTACTAGTCTTTTTTTGACCACCAGGTGTGCAAAAACTACAGGTACATTTAATATATATATTATATTATTATCGGTTATCGGTATCGGTTTCAAAAAAACAATATCGAGCATCCCTAGTTATAATGCAACTTATGCTAATGAGCCAACATATGCAGGTTAGCATGCAGCAGCTTCTATGTGCTGGGGACCCTACTCTGCATTTCTATCATAACACTTTGGGGTACTCAACATTTCTGGAGTCACTAAGCCGGCAACTAAACTATCCCCCACTGTCTGCTGGGCGTGTGTGTGTGTGTGTGTGTGTGTGTGTGTGTGTGTGTACCTGTAGGAGTTGAGGGTTCTCTCGGCCCAGCTGCTGCAGCAGGGCGGGCAGCAGGGCCGGGTTCTGCTGGATGGCCGTCCTCATGTGCAGGAACTGAGGCTGAGTCCGCAGGAATGCAAGTGGGTTCTCTCCTGAAGACGGACACAAAATATTCAGTTTTACAATCATCAAATGTTCGGCATCTCGTTAATGCAGTCATAATAAAATGCTGCAGGAATTGCTGAGAATAATCTCTGTGTCAAACAAACGTTCATGATACTTACACGATGAGTTCAGCAGGATCATTTCCACATATTAACACCACTTTATGATTCTGAAGTAAAAAGCTAATGTTAGGCTAAAGGAACTACAGCACAGTCACATGACTTCACGTCACCACCGCTAAGCTAAAGGAGGCTAATGTTGGTCTATAAAGGAACTACAGCACGGTCACATGACTTCACGTCACCACCGCTAAGCTAAAGGAGGCTAATGTTGGTCTATAAAGGAACTACAGCACGGTCACATGACTTCACGTCACCACCGCTAAGCTAAAGGAGGCTAATGTTGGTCTATAAAGGAACTACAGCACGGTCACATGAATTCACGTCACCACCGCTAAGCTAAAGGAGGCTAATGTTGGTCTATAAAGGAACTACAGCACGGTCACATGACTTCACGTCACCACCGCTAAGCTAAGGAGGCTAATGTTGGTCTATAAAGGAACTACAGCACGGTCACATGAATTCACGTCACCACCGCTAAGCTAAAGGAGGCTAATGTTGGTCTATAAAGGAACTACAGCACGGTCACATGAATTCACGTCACCACCGCTAAGCTAAAGGAGGCTAATGTTGGCTATAAAGGAACTACAGCACGGTCACATGAATTCACGTCACCACCGCTAAGCTAAAGGAGGCTAATGTTGGGCTATAAAGGAACTACAGCACGGTCACATGACTTCACGTCACCACCGCTAAGCTAAAGGCGGCTAATGTTGGGCTATAAAGGAACTACAGCACGGTCACATGACTTCACGTCACCACCGCTAAGCTAAAGGAGGCTAATGTTGGTCTATAAAGGAACTACAGCACGGTCACATGACTTCACGTCACCACCGCTAAGCTAAAGGAGGCTAATGTTGGTCTATAAAGGAACTACAGCACGGTCACATGAATTCACGTCACCACCGCTAAGCTAAAGGAGGCTAATGTTGGTCTATAAAGGAACTACAGCACGGTCACATGAATTCACGTCACCACCGCTAAGCTAAAGGAGGCTAATGTTGGTCTATAAAGGAACTACAGCACGGTCACATGAATTCACGTCACCACCGCTAAGCTAAAGGAGGCTAATGTTGGGCTATAAAGGAACTACAGCACGGTCACATGACTTCACGTCACCACCGCTAAGCTAAAGGCGGCTAATGTTGGGCTATAAAGGAACTACAGCACGGTCACATGACTTCACGTCACCACCGCTAAGCTAAAGGAGGCTAATGTTGGTCTATAAAGGAACTACAGCACGGTCACATGACTTCACGTCACCACCGCTAAGCTAAAGGAGGCTAATGTTGGTCTATAAAGGAACTACAGCACGGTCACATGAATTCACGTCACCACCGCTAAGCTAAAGGAGGCTAATGTTGGTCTATAAAGGAACTACAGCACGGTCACATGACTTCACGTCACCACCGCTAAGCTAAAGGAGGCTAATGTTGGTCTATAAAGGAACTACAGCACGGTCACATGAATTCACGTCACCACCGCTAAGCTAAAGGAGGCTAATGTTGGTCTATAAAGGAACTACAGCACGGTCACATGAATTCACGTCACCACCGCTAAGCTAAAGGAGGCTAATGTTGGTCTATAAAGGAACTACAGCACGGTCACATGAATTCACGTCACCCACCGCTAAGCTAAAGGAGGCTAATGTTGGGCTATAAAGGAACTACAGCACGGTCACATGACTTCACGTCACCACCGCTAAGCTAAAGGCGGCTAATGTTGGGCTATAAGGAACTACAGCACGGTCACATGACTTCACGTCACCACCGCTAAGCTAAAGGTGGCTAATGTTGGGCTATAAAGGAACTACAGCACGGTCACATGACTTCACGTCACCACCGCTAAGCTAAAGGAGGCTAATGTTGGGCTATAAAGGAACTACAGCACGGTCACATGACTTCACGTCACCACCGCTAAGCTAAAGGCGGCTAATGTTGGGCTATAAAGGAACTACAGCACGGTCACATGACTTCACGTCACCACCGCTAAGCTAAAGGAGGCTAATGTTGGGCTATAAAGGAACTACAGCACGGTCACATGACTTCACGTCACCACCGCTAAGCTAAAGGAGGCTAATGTTGGGCTCTAAAGGAACTACAGCACGGTCACATGACTTCACGTCACCACCGCTAAGCTAAAGGTGGCTAATGTTGGGCTATAAAGGAACTACAGCACGGTCACATGACTTCACGTCACCACCGCTAAGCTAAAGGAGGCTAATGTTGGGCTATAAAGGAACTACAGCACGGTCACATGACTTCACGTTACCACCGCTAAGCTAAAGGAGGCTAATGTTGGTTTATAAAGGAACTACAGCACGGTCACATGACTTCACGTCACCACCGCTAAGCTAAAGGAGGCTAATGTTGGGCTCTAAAGGAACTACAGCACGGTCACATGACTTCACGTCACCACCGCTAAGCTAAAGGTGGCTAATGTTGGGCTATAAAGGAACTACAGCACGGTCACATGACTTCACGTCACCACCGCTAAGCTAAAGGTAGCTAATGTTGGGCTATAAAGGAACTACAGCACGGTCACATGACTTCACGTCACCACCGCTAAGCTAAAGGCGGCTAATGTTGGGCGTGATGACGTTTAGTCGTCTCATTTAGACGCTTGTTAGCAACCTCCGTTTTTAAATTCATCAGTGGGGTATTTACTGGCGTATTTTATGACAACCAAAATCACAAAGGACCTATTCCTGCACCACAAACAGTCAATATGCAGCTCCACAGTTTGGCGATAACTAACGAGTCTTAACAAAAAGAAATGTCACATGACATGGCAGAGGAACTGCCAGGAATCAAGTAAAGAATAACACCTTATATCCCGCTCAATATGTGCTGAACTAAACGTGTATCGCATAAACGTTTGTTTGACACAGAGATTAATCCCATTGGACCAGGGAGATGCTGCCTTCAGGGTCCAACACAGAAATACGACATCCCTGCACCACTGGTTTGTTTTTCACACAGTGCGTGTACTTGACTGCCCCTCACCCTCTGCTAGAGACGGGGCTTCTGTGGGTCCGGAGGCGGGGGCCGGTGCCGGGGCGCTACTCTCCTGCACCGGGCTGCTGGGGAGACCCTGCAAACACAACAACACACACCTGTCAATCACACACACACACTGTGCTTCTTTACAAAAAAATAAATCCTACACACTAATGATTACACAAGGGGGCTGCCTAAGAACAAACGGAGATGTAAACAGTGTGAGCACGATGGACGTTACTCTGATCAGTGTGTGTGTGTGTGTGCGCGTGTGTATGCCTGTGTGTGCGCGCGCGTGTGTGTGTGTATATGTGTGTGTGTATGCCTGTGTGTGTGTGTATGTGTGTGTGTGTGTGTGTATGTGTGTATGTGTGTGTGTGTGTATGTGTGTGTGTGCGCGCACGCGTGTGTGTGCGCGCACGCGTGTGTGTGTGTGTATATGTGTGTGTATATGCCTGTGTGTGTGTGTGTGTATGTGTGTGTGTGTGTAAAGCTGTCTCTGCCATCTGACGCACTATTTGACACCATGTTCATATTTTGCAATTATACAGTTTCTCAGGAACAGAAGTTTTCTGGCATCACTTTAACATTTTACACAAAACCCCGGTAACTATATTTTATACTAACATAGCACATTATATATAGTGATATAAATGGTATATAATGTATGGGCTCTTTTTATTTTAACTTCTTATGTTTGTATAATATATAGTTTTTGCAACAATGAGACGCAAATGGACGTTACTCTGATCAATGTGTGCCTGTCTGTGTGTGTGTGTGTGTGTGTGTGTCTGTGTGTGCGTGTGCGTGCGTGTGCGTGTGCTTGTGCGTGTGCGTGTGCCTGTGTGTGTGTGTGTGTGTGTGTGTGTGTGTGTGTGTGTGTGTGTGTGCATGTCTGTGTGTGTGTGTGTGTCTGTGTCTGTCTGTGTGTGTGTGTGTGTGTGTCTGTCTGTGTGTGTGTGTCTGTGTCTGTGTGTGTGTGCGTGTGTGTGTGTGTGTGTGTGTGTGTGTCTCACAGTCAGCAGGTACTCCACAGCTCTGTGGGGGTTGTTGAAACTCGCCCTGAGTGCAGCGACCACTCTCTCTCTATCGTAGCCCATGGACATGATCTCCGTTAGCATCGCCTCGTACTCCGCTCCCGTCACTGGAAATAAAAACACACACGGCCCATTATTCATCATTTCAGGGCGAATTAAACTATTTATGTAAATATATTTTACATGTTCATAAAAATGCTTAACTTTTTACTGTGATATCTCGTGTTCGTGTCGGTTACTGTACCACTTTATTTTTACTGTATTATTATTTGAATTTGTATTCTCTCTTTACCTTGTGTGAATCCTGTCTTTCATTCCCCAAGAGGATAAATCAAGTTCCATCTTATCTTATTTAAAAACCCTAATTCAATTCTGATTTACAACTTTTCTATGCAAAGGTCGAACGATAACAAATAGTAAGAAGAACCAAATCTTAAATCGTTCAGTTTATAACGCACGGTTTGGCTTTTCACGAGTAAAATTCGAGCATTTTGAAAGTCCTCAAAGCAATAATGTAATATGGAAAAACATTGTCCCTTAATAACAATCCATGTGTCTTCTTGTTTACCAGCTGTTCATATGAACTTTGATATCATGTTTTCATCATGATTATTTAGTGCTACGCTAGCTGGTCGTCCGCTCCACGTCTGGTGTGACAACAAACAGGACGACGTATTGTTCTATTTAAAATACAAAAAGAGTATTGGGTTTTCATGAGGGATTGTGTCGAGGGAACACCAGGTCATTTTCAAACATATTTCTAACCTTTAAAATATAACGTTAAAAACTGAGAATCTTCAACCTTTAAAAAACTGATAACCAGGAATACTATGAGCTTTAATAGCAGCACGACATAGCAGACCTCTGTGGCTCCACAATAAGGGATGTCGTACTTTTGTCACCGTCTAAATATAGAAACAGTGCCGCTCCCTGACTCATAGCAGCAACTATGTTTTGGAGCAGTAAAAATAACCCAAGTTTTACACAAGAAATGTTCTGCTGTGATAGTGACCTATTAATAACACTGACAATGCATAGAAGTGCATAGAAGTCCTATTCCTGTGCTGGTCCCTGAAGGCAGCATCTCCCTGGTCCAATGGGATTTCTCCATGTGATTTTGGATTATTGCACGAACTACAGCACGGTCACATGACTTCACGTCACCACCGCTAAGCTAAAGGTGGCTAATGTTGGGCTATAAAGGAACTACAGCACGGTCACATGACTTCACCACTGCTAAGCTACAGGTAGCTAATGTTGGGCTATAAAGGAACTACAGCACGGTCACATGACTTCACGTCACCACCGCTAAGCTAAAGGTGGCTAATGTTGGGCTATAAAGGAACTACAGCACGGTCACATGACTTCACGTCACCACCGCTAAGCTAAAGGTGGCTAATGTTGGGCTATAAAGGAACTACAGCACGGTCACATGACTTCACGTCACCACCGCTAAGCTAAAGGTGGCTAATGTTGGGCTATAAAGGAACTACAGCACGGTCACATGACTTCACGTCACCACCGCTAAGCTAAAGGAGGCTAATGTTGGGCTATAAAGGAACTACAGCGCGGTCACATGACTTCACGTCACCACCGCTAAGCTAAAGGTGGCTAATGTTGGGCTATAAAGGAACTACAGCACGGTCACATGACTTCACGTCACCACCGCTAAGCTAAAGGTGGCTAATGTTGGGCTATAAAGGAACTACAGCACGGTCACATGACTTCACGTCACCACCGCTAAGCTAAAGGAGGCTAATGTTGGGCTATAAAGGAACTACAGCGCGGTCACATGACTTCACGTCACCACCGCTAAGCTAAAGGTGGCTAATGTTGGGCTATAAAGGAACTACAGCACGGTCACATGACTTCACGTCACCACCGCTAAGCTAAAGGTGGCTAATGTTGGGCTATAAAGGAACTACAGCACGGTCACATGACTTCACGTCACCATCGCTAAGCTAAAGGTGGCTAATGTTGATCACGATGGCGTTTAGTCGTCTCATTTAGACACTTGTTAGCAAGCTCTGTTTTTAAATCCACCAGTGGGGTATTTACTGACATATTTGATGTCGTAGAACAAAACATTAAAATCTCTTCAGCTTGCGTTAACCACAGACCTTATTTCAGGCTAACAACCAAAAACACATTCAGAAAACCGTTGACTTCCAGACCAGGGGACAGGAAGTGATGTTTTATTTATTTGTTACTTACCGAGCGCTGAGGATCCGTCCAAACCCTGCCCGGCGGTACTGGAGCTGCTGAACATTAAAAAGTGAAGATAAAAATCAGAAAACCGACACGATATTTCTGTGATGTCGATGAGCAAAGCAGTAGACACCAATGGCGCATACTTTCCCCCCAAGAAAAGAACACTTGGTTATTGATTCATATTCTGATATCTGATGAAGGACAGTCCGACTTGAAAAACTGTTTCGTTACCGTCACTAACCCCATTTTCACTCGATATAAAAATGTCTTTATTTCCTGCTTGTTTACACATACTCTCTCCAGTACAGGTTAGCTCTGAGTGTTAGCGATGCTAATGTAAACACCGACCATATTACTTCGCTCATTGTTTCTGACAGCAACGTTTCTGATTGGCCCGTGGGCGTAAAGCCCGCCCACATTTTAGTAATGTCGTCATGACGCAGCAAATCTGGATCAGCTCCGTTGTTCCCCCGTTTTTAGAGATGTGGGTACGGAGGAGAAGAGAGAGGGGTTTATTTCCTGACACTTTGAGAGTCTCCTGACACACATGGTGATGTAGAAAAGACGTTAAAGGTGCATTTTGCATGATAGGAGACTTTTAAATAACAAACGCAGTAAATACCTGGCGGCGGGTTGTGGTGGTTCTGCGGCGGCAGCGGCACTTGGCTCTCCTTTGGCCTCCTGGTCGGGGGGGGGTGGGGGCAGCTGCGGGGGTCGGAGCGGGGGTCGGAGCCGGAGCAGCTGCTGACGAGGAGCCAGAGTCCTGAGCGGGGGCTTTGGGAGCCTCCGAGGCCGGGGACGAGGCGGCAGCTGCAGGTTTAGCCTTCAGGACGATAGAAAACACAGCCATGTCAAAAAGACCGGCATCACGAACATGTCCGACAACTCCTTAACATTTTGAAACCCAGGCTGAAGACTTGGTAATATCTCACACTACACTGTAACTTTTATTAATTGGTTTTATACCTCTTTGTGTACAATATTTAATTTCACATTCTGTTCTTGTATATATCATATTCACATGTATATAGACTTCTTGCATTATTTATTTTTTGTATTTTATTATATGTTTCATTGTTGCAGGAGCTCGGGTCAGAATCATTTCCTTGCCATTTCTACACTGTAGCTTATGTGCATATGACAATAACACCTTTGAATCTTGAATTGAAGCTGTGTTATTCTATATTATAGTCTACCCCAAAGTTTTAGGATAGAAATGTATAATACGGGTCCCCAGCACAAAGAAACTTGCAACCAATTTGCACAATGAGCATAAGGTGCGTTAATTAGCATTACTATGGCGTATGTGGACAATAGTTTGGGCCGATTTGGAGAATTGGTGTCGTTTTGGGGGTTATTGAGGGTGCCGATTCCATTCCTGACATTTTCAGGATAAAAAAAAATTGCAGTTTTAACCAGGAAGTGGACATATGTGTGCTCTCTTTGGGACACACAATAGGACTTTAAGAGCTGGCAACCAGACTATTAGCTTGTTTTAAGTTTAATTAAAACCGCCCAGGTATATTAACGGCCGCCAAAGTATAATTCACGAGCCATTAACGTTTAATTTTTTTAATCCGTCCGCGGCATCGGCGATCCCTCGCTCACCCCCTCGCTATCGCGTGAAGGGTCTGCTTTATGCGCTCCGCACAGTAACACTGCTGTGAGGCGGACAGCAGTTCATGACAAGCTCACTAGCTCACCTCCCCCCCCCCCCCCCCCCCCCAGTTTATATACTTATTCAAAATGTAATACTTTGGAAAATGCTGTTTAATACTTTTGAATAGCCTTAATTTTCGCTAAATTGATTTATCAACTTTTAATACTTTTTAAGACCCCGCGGACACCCTGTCCAAAGACTACTGATTTATGGACACTCCACCCCCCCGCCCTTTATTATATATTTAGTTGTTGTCTTTGTACCGTTTTGTTATTATTTGTTTTGTCCTGTTAGTCTGAACAACACTCTAGTCGAGACTAAACTGAAAACTAGTAGCTTTGAACATGTCTAACTGTGGTTCCTATCAATGTACCAAATGTATTTTCTATGTGTACAAAGACACCCCGTTAACTTCAGTGATTTCTGAGGTATTGAGCTTGTGTTACCTTGGAAACCATCACCACAACGAAGTTCTTCTCGTCGATGTTGTAGTCCTGGATGGGCGTGTCATCTTGCAGGATCTTCCCGGCATAAATCAGCTTCTGCCCGGAGACGGGGAAGCTGTCTTTCCCTCTCTCTGCTTCTATCTTCTCTTTTAAGGCCTTCACCTGATACAGGACAGATTCATCAGAATCAATTAGCATCAACTTTGAAGCTCTTCCTTATGGTCTCACCATCGTTGGCTGTGATTGGCCCTTCATTGGGTCTATTTGACAGATAGTGTATAGATATGTTTCACCGTCAATTTGTATATTTTTTTTACTTGTGTTTTTTTTATATTTTATGTTTGTTTACTTTCCACTCTTTCATTTTCACTTTATGTGCAATGCCTTGTTTACTTGCTGCTGTGACGTCAACAAATCAAACTAAATCCCATACTCATAGTGAAATATAATCAACTCTTAAATCAGACTTTAGGGACACTTTCAGTATATGTTGATGAGAATACTTTTCTACTTTTACATGAGGAACATTTTGAATGCAGGACTTTTACTGTAACAGAGTATTCCTACACTCTGGTACTTCTACTTTTACTCAAGTACAAGATCTGAGTACTTCTACTTTTACTCAAGTACAAGATCTGAGTACTTCTACTTTTACTCAAGTACAAGATCTGAGTACTTCTACTTTTACTCAAGTACAAGATCTGAGTACTTCTACTTTAACTCAAGTACAAGACCTGAGTACTTCTACTTTTACTCAAGTACAAGATCTGAGTACTTCTACTTTTACTCAAGTACAAGATCTGAGTACTTTTACTTTTAATACAAACACACGATCTGAGTACTTCTACTTTAACTCAAGAACAAGATCTGAGTACTTCTACTTTTACTCAAGAACAAGACCTGAGTACTTCTACTTTTACTCAAGTACAAGATCTGAGTACTTCTACTTTAACTCAAGTACAAGATCTGAGTACTTCTACTTTTAATACAAACACACGATCTGAGTACTTCTACTTTTACTCAAGTACAAGATCTGAGTACTTCTACTTTTACTCAAGTACAAGATCTGAGCACTTCTACTTTTACTAAGTACAAGATCTGAGTACTTCTACTTTTACTCAAGTACAAGATCTGAGTACTTCTACTTTTACTCAAGTACAAGATCTGAGTACTTTCTACTTTTACTCAAGTACAAGATCTGAGTACTTCTACTTTTACTCAAGTACAAGATCTGAGTACTTCTACTTTTACTCAAGTACAAGATCAGAGTACTTCTACTTTTACTCAAGTACAAGATCTGAGTACTTCTACTTTTACTCAAGTACAAGACCTGAGTACTTCTACTTTTACTCAAGTACAAGATCTGAGTACTTCTACTTTTACTCAAGTACAAGATCTGAGTACTTCTACTTTTACTCAAGTACAAGATCTGAGTACTTCTACTTTTAATACAAACACACGATCTGAGTACTTCTACTTTTAATACAAACACACGATCTGAGTACTTCTACTTTTACCCAAGTACAAGACCTGAGTACTTCTACTTTTACTCAAGTACAAGCTCTGAGTACTTCTACTTTTACTCAAGTACAAGCTCTGAGTACTTCTACTTTTAATACAAACACACGATCTGAGTACTTCTACTTTTACTCAAGTACACGATCTGAGTACTTCTACTTTTACTCAAATACAAGATCTGAGTACTTCTACTTTTACTCAAATACAAGACCTGAGTACTTCTACTTTTACTCAAGTACAAGATCTGAGTACTTCTACTTTTACTCAAATACAAGATCTGAGTACTTCTACTTTTATTCAAGTACAAGATCTGAGTACTTCTACTTTTACTCAAATACAAGATCTGAGTACTTCTACTTTTATTCAAATACAAGATCTGAGTACTTCTCCTAAAAGAGATTGTGAAAGTGAAGTATCTGAAGGATTTCCAACATTAGTGACAGAAATACTTCTTAAACTGCTGCTCAGTTAACGCTAGCCCTGCTAGCTTCATGTCAGCATGCTAACAAACTGACGCTACTAATTAGCAGTGTCATTAGCATTAGCAAGGACAATCATCGTAGTTTGGGAAGCTGTGGAGTCATCACAGACGTTCCTGGAGAGAAGGGGAAGCTAAGAAACCATGACACACACATCTAGAGCGGACAGAAATCCAGTGACTTTGTTAACGGGCTGTTTAGCAGCTAGGAAGCTAACAGGCTAACAAGCTAGCTGTTGGTGGGGAGGTTTCAGAATCAGATTCTACACATAGAAGGTTCGCTTTGGTACATGTGGTTCAGACACACTGTAAGGACATACATTGAAAGATTAGGTACAGACAAAGTACTTTTAAGAAACTATTTAGCATTAAAAAAAGAATAAAGACAAGTATTTACACAATATTTAAATATACAAAAGCAAACAAAGACACAGAAAAAAAGAATACATTGAAAAATAGTACTAAAGCTATTTGAACTTAAGACGGTCTAAACAACGCTGTAGTTTTTTAATAAATAGCGTTTATTATAGTACCATTTATTTCTGTCTTTGTGTACACCATGCCTTGTATGTGTAAAAACCTAATAAATAAATACACCTGTTTCTTATCTCAAACCAAACACAATCAAAAAATAAATAAAACCAACCTCCACCCCTCCCAGGTTCAGATAGCTTTGTGATTAAAAACCATTAATACCAACACAGGCTGAATCAAAAAGGAATCAAAGAAAAATGTAAATAATTAAAAACAATGAAAAGGAATTAAATCTCAAATAAAATATAAAATACATAAAAATAATAAAAAGGAATAGAATCTTTTAAAAAAATAATAAAAAGGAATAAAATGAGAATAAAATAAAATGAGGTTGAAGGCCAAATAAAAAAGGTGGGTGTTGAGTTTGCCCTTTAAAGTATTCACACTAACCGTTGAAATCCTAATAAAACACATTCCTCCTTATTTCATTGCTTCATTTTAACAGTTGTAATAGTTATATTTTAATAGTTTTTTATAATAGTTGTATTATTTGGTCCTTTTTTCTTCTTTGACTGTGTTAATGTATGCACCTGAAACACACATTACTTGTATGTTTAAAAACCGACCTGGTACTAAATCTGTTTCTGAAGGAAATCTCTCTCTTAGCATGTTAGCTCGTTAGCTCGTTAGCACGTCCTGTTAGCTACTGTTACTCACCGTCTGAACGGGATCTATCTCTATCTGAATGGTTTGCTGCTGCAGGGTCTTCAGAGTGATCTGCATGGTGGCTTCAGGTTGACGGGGAGTCGTAGCTCACTATGCAGTTAATTTGTTTTTAAAGTAAGATAACGACGAGCTGAAAGATGTGTGTATCCATGAGCACTCAGCAAAACGCCATCTTTGGTGGTGAGCAGGCGAGAAGGTGGGTACGAGATCTCGTTCTGAGCAACGAGAACACGCGGAGTGTTGGTTATCACCTTTTAGTATGGACATCTTGAAAGGACTTCTAACTCTGATTGCAGATATATTGAACATTGAAGCAAAGTTATGCAAATTGAATTACTTCAGGAATATATGTAAAAGAAACTCGATGTAACTGCTTGTGTTGCATCAAATATTTAATCTGTTTATATTTGATATGTGTATTCTATTTTATTTCTATTTTATTTTATTTATTCCTGAATGGAAAATATGTCACAAAACCCAACTTGCCCCAGGATAAATAAACAATAAATACAGTCTAAATGTGTTGGATCTTCTCTGTTTGCCAGTGGAAGGAGAAGTACTGCGATCTTGTACTTGAGTAAAAGTACTCAGAAAAGTAGTCGTTGTGCAGATTGGTCCATTTCAGAATAATATATATGATATGTTTTATAATGATTGATCATGAAAGTGTTCTCAAAGCTGGTGAAGGTGCAGCTAGTTTGAAGTACTTTGTATACTGCAGGGTAGCTGGTGGATTTACTCCAGGTGGAACTAAAGTCTGATTCAACACTTGATTAGATTTCACATCCTTCATCTGTGAAGTAACTAAAGGGATTAAATACATGTAGTGGAGTTAAAGTACACCATGTACCTCTGAACTGTAGTGGAGTAGAAGTACACAGTAGCATACATGGAAATACTCAAGTAAAGTACAAGTACCTCAAAATTGTACTTAAGTACTTGAGTAAATGTTACTTCCCACCTCTGCTGTTTGCACATTTCTACATATGTTTAAATCTGCAGGAATATGTTTCTCTTAGCATCACACACACACACACACGCACACGCACACGCACACACACACACACACACACGCACACACACACACCAGCAGGGGGCGGTGTTTGTTTACATTCAGACACACATCAAAAGGTCAATAGGTTTTTCTGAGATGATGCTTTATGTATTTAACTAGTGTTTATCAGAGTATTGGCAGTGTGCAAATGGTGATAATGAATCCAGAGATGGAAGAACTGCTCATTACTCTAATAATGTCATATATTTAATAATAATATATCACACATGGAGACCACCTTTCTGCAAGCACTTCTGATATGCTTTGTACATTTAGCTGATCATATTTCTGAATACTCTAACACTGGATGGTGGTGCTTATGATTAAATATGACAGTATTGAAAGGTGCAGTTTGTCATTCCTGCCGTTAGGGGTCTCTCAATCCAAACAACTGAAGGAGTGTTGCATCATGGGGGTTGTTGTCTTTATTGGTAAACAGCCACCATTGCCAATGAAAGTCTATCTGACATGAGGTAATGTGTTCAAGCTCATTCACGGTACAATTAGTAACTTTATGTATTTAGTACCTGTGTTAATAAACACATGTTATATGTCACTTGTGGTTTTAATACCTGTTTTTATTTGTGTTTGTGTTTTTGGATTGTGAAGCACTTTGTGTCACCTTTTGTGTATGAAAAGTAAAAAATAGACTTTTGATTTTAAGCTCACATAACGGTCTATCAATCCTTATACCTGGAGGAGCGTGGCATCATGGGAGTTGTAGTCTTTATTTGTCAAACATCCACCATGTCCAATGAAAATCTACTATCAGAAAGAAACCATAAGTTACACTTAGTCACATTATGTCCTTTTATTCTAAGACATTGTTGCATCATGTAACTTTAACAATATCTTTGGCTTTTAATCTAATTGTTTTTTTCATTTTTTATAATGTTATTTTTCTGCCAGTCCTGTGTTTTTGAAGTTCTGTTGGTTTTAGAGGTTTTTTTATGAATCATCAAGGTATATTTATTTCATGTTTTGTGTGATTTGTTATTTATTACCTGGGAAGTGCGGATGTATTGTTTGTTATACCCAACACATAGCACAACACTCTTGTGATATTTAATTATGATGCTTGTTTGCAGTAAACATGTCAGCACTGTTGTAGTTGTTGTCCTTATCTGTATTGCACTTATTGTAAGTCGCTTTGCATAAAAGCGTCAGCTCAATGCTATGTAATATATTTGGCTGTATGTTTGGCTTGTGAACCCTTTTGTGTATATAAAGTGCTGTATTAAAAACAATATAAGAATACAGTTAGATATTTAGCGAACACAAAGTAACGAGCTGACATATTTTACATGTATTTCACAGATTTCCCCCCGTTTGAAACGTGTGGGAAAAGACATGAATATTTTGTTGAATTTTAAATATGTGACCTTTGAAAATGAACGCTGTGGCAGCTGCTGCAGTAATGTAAGTAAGTAAGTAAAACGTTATTTATATAGCACCCTTCTCAACACGGATGTACACAGGACACAATTCACAGTAAAACTATAACATGTAGAATAAAAGGCATAAAACAACAGCAGGTAACACATAGGATAAACCACCAATAAAAAGACAGCTACTAACTCACGCCCCAAAAGCCTGTCGGAAAAGATGGGTCTTTAGCTGCCCCTTAAAAATCTCTATTGACGCTGAGGTTTTTAATTTCTGGGGGAGTTTGTTCCAAAGCCTTGGGGCCACCAAAGGCACGGTCCACCTTGGTCTTTAGCCTGGTTCGGGGCACCCTTAGGAGGCCTTGCTCAGAGGACCTCAGGGCCCGGGTTGTGCTGTGAGGGTGCATCAGGTCATTAATGTAGGCTGGGGCTTGGCCATGGACAGCTCTAAATGTGAAAACCAATACCTTGCATTGGGTTCTGAGATGGACAGGCAGGCAGGGCAGAAAGGATCGGAGTGCTGTGGCATGTTTTTTTGGACCGAGTGAGTAATCTGGCTGCAGCGTTTTGGACCTGTTGTAGCCGGTTTATTGATGTTTTGTGGAGGCAGGAGAACAGAGCATTGCAATAATCAAGCCGGGATTAAATGAAGGCATGGATAGCCGTCTCCATTTCTGCGTTGGATAGAACCCCCCTGAGCTTGTAATTAAGTAATCAGAACACAAGCCTTTTTATGTTATTTATTCAGCCTTTGTCTAATTTCTGCACCGAAGTACACATTAATGCACCGGCTGTGACCACCATTTGCAACATGAATATTTTATCATTTTACTCCTGATGGATCGCTCGCTGCCAAGTTCCTCTCCACTTCCTGTTCCTATAGGCCTCCTTTCTCTTCCTGCCTCTTTTTCTTCTGTCCTCGCCAGATTTCTGCAGGTGTCGTTGAAAGGAGGGACCCCAAAACAACCGAGGAGAGTGGCGTAAAGACGACAGAAAGAGAGGAAGGAGAGCTGATGGAAGAAGAGGAGGGAGGAAAGGAAAAAGGAAGAGATAGAGGAGACAGGGAATCCCTCCGTGTGTGTGTGTGTGTGCGTGTGAGGGGACGGTGCCCTACATGTGTGTTCATCTGGGTTAATTCTCAAGGACAGAAACTATTAAAGATTAACAAGGAACCACCATGTTTTTTTGAGACAAGCTGCATCCGGGGGCACATGGCTCTAAACACAGACCTACTTTAAAGTGTCTTTGTGTGTGTGTGTGTGTGTGTGTGTGTGGGCTTTATTCTCACCAGACTAAAAGGGAACATCTTTAATGTGAGACCATGTCAGCTTTTTGCTGAAGTTCTTCAGTTGTACCTTCTCTAGGTTGGCTTCACATTAATGCACGACTTCAGGAAATCAGCCGATAGTCAATATGAACAATTAATCTGCATTCTTGTGATTTAAAGAGGCCCTTTTCTGCTTTTCCGTTAGTGTTTTCTATATGGTTTTTGTGGTCTGCAAAGGCTAAAATCCCGCCGGAGTTTTCTCTCACTGTCACGGTGTGTGAAGCAGGTAGGACCCAAATGAAGATTAAAGTGAGAATTCCTTTATTTCAAGGCTAGGTGCTAAACAAAGACAAAACAGAACACTCACCGACGAACTAGTCATGACAAGACGAACCGACAATGACAGGCAGAAAAACCAGAACTTAAATACACACAAGACTAATCACAGAAACAAGACACAGGTGAGGAGGGAGGAGAAAACACAGGGACACCAGGTGAACACAATCGGGTAAATTAGACACACCAGGGAAACTAACGACCGGGAACCACAGACAGATTTAAACAAGACACAACGCAGACAGAAACAGGCAAGACAGGAAGTGAAGACCTTTAAACATAAAACATGAAACAAGACAAGACACCATAAAGACAGATCGTGACAGTACCCCCCCCCCCCCCCCCTCAATGGACGGATCCCAGACGTCCCAAAAAAAAACCCACAAAAGTCCAAAACCTCAAGCAGGGTGGGTGGAGGGGGTCAGGAGGACGGGACTGAGCTGACCGCCCAGAGGCACAGCAGAGGACAAGGAAGGGATCTCGGGCGGACGGCCCGGGGGCAAGGCAGAGTTCAAAAAGGGGGATTCGGGCGGACGGCCCGGGGGCAAGGCAGAGTCCAAGGTGGGGGTTATGGAGGGGCGAAGGCCACCGCGGGCGAACTCAGGGGGCCGAGCATGAGGGCGAGGACTGCGGCCGGAAAAGTCAGGGGGACGAGCATGAGGGCGAGGATCGCGGCCGGAAGAGTCAGGGGGCCGGGCCCAAGGGTGAGGACCGCGGCAGGAAGAGTCAAGGGGCCGGGCTCGAGGGCGAAGACCGCGGCTCTCAGGGGGCCGGGCTCGAGGGTGAAGACCGCGGCTCTCAGGGGGCCGGGCTCGAGGGCGAAGACTGCGGCTCTCAGAGGGCCGGGCTCGAGGGCGAAGACTGCGGCTCTCAGAGGGCCGGGCTCGAGGGTGAAGACCAGACAGCTCCGGAGGCCGGGCAGGAAGGCGCTGACGGGACAGTGCCGGAGGCCGGGCAGGACCCGGTGTCGGAGCTGGTGGGACAGGCCTCGGCAGGATCCCCCACGGAAGAGGACCAGGACACGGGATTT